CCAAAATACAAAAGTTTTTTTTGGTTTTTTTTTCAAGATTATCTTTGCAGCAACAAAAAAAAAGTTTCCTATGGACAGGGCAGCTAAAAGTGGCCGCTGAGAAAATCAACCACAAAATAAAAGACAAAAAGGCCCTAATAATAAGACTAAAGATGTCTGCAAATGGGTTGATTGTTTAAAAAGCCAGCAATCGGAATTAGTACAGCTTCCAAACTGACACTAATCATTTCCTATGTAGTTTATCAGCTTTTCCTGTGCTTTGCTTACAGCAGCTTCCAATGCGCGGACATGATGGCTGCTCTGTGCCCCCCTTTTAATGTGGGGGGCTGGCTTATCCAAATGCCTCCTTATTGCCCATCTATGCTTGCTGGCCAATACAATGAAGAAAGCGGGAGATTCCTCAATCAACACTCATAAGCATTGATGGAGGAATCTGTTCTATTTTTTTTTATACTTCAGTCCGTGGGTTGAACGAAAAATATAGAACAGTGTTCGGCCATCTTTAGTTATGCCACTGTCTCAAGTCAGAAGTACACTTACTGTAACTTGCAAGTGTATTACGCTCATGCAGTATTTACCCTTGCTCTTTCTTCTGCCTGAATGCACACTTTTCCATTGATGTGAGATCGGAAGATTTCTAAAACTAAAAGGGTCTGTAGAATCAAAAGCAACAAATTGGTTTTCATCATCTAATTTGCATCAAAGCACAGCAAGTTGCACTTCAGTTAGTTGATTGTGTATAGCTGCCCATACACCTTATGAATATCGGCCGATTTTCGTATGCGATCGCGTTTTCGTCCGATATTCGTAAGGTTGATGGGCAGTGTACAACCGCAAATACTGTACAATCGATTGTAATGCTTTCTAGGAGGGGAAACACTGAAAATGTACTTAGCTCAGGCTGCAGGCTCCACAAATTCCGTGATGAGCAGGACTTCTTGGCCTAGGAAAATGGCTTCTCGTTGCAGTCTCTGCTAAATCCTTAGTATGCCCTGGTCTTGAAGCAAGTCCTCTCGTCTTGTGAAGCCCCCTCGTACTGTCCCCTCCTGTGAAGCCCTCGTCTTGTGAAGTGCTCCTCAACCTTTCAGCTACTCGCTTTTTATTGAGAGAAAACTGGCCTCCCACTTGGAAGCGCCCTGCCCCTTTCGCTTTTAGGAAAATTAAATGCCATGCGTTTCACTTTCCCACCTCTAGGTGGCAGCGTTGTATCATAAATTGCCATCAGTAGTCTAGATTTGATTTGAGTCTTGACCAGGCTAGGTGTGACTGTTTACGATCACCATCCCATTGTGATACGAATCAATACAGGACAAGCCACACCATTGTGAAAAAAACAGTTTGGTCTGTTTATATGGCACCTTCCATTGTGTGAACTCAGCTTTCTATCAACAAACAAACAAAATCTCTGTCTCTATTGCAAATCTATGTGTGTCTGAAAAAGTCCACTAAGATATATTGCAACACATTCCGCCCTGGACTATTTCATATTCCACACAGAAAAAATGAGTGTACCCTAACCACTAATGACACTAATACCAAACATTCATTCACAATGGATACAACAATCCCCCCAAGTTCCTCTGCTAAAGAGGTGTTTCAGTCTTTTGGCAAAGTTCATGAGAGAAGGTCCGGTCTTGTAAGCTTATTCTCCTCAGTTCCCGTGGTCTTCCTTTTCTCCATTCTGAAGCCACTTTCTCCATGGATCAAATCGGAGATAGCCTATGGAGTGGAAAACAGAGTGGGTTATCTGTTCCTTCCAACAACACGAAAACAGTAGACCCCGGCCCTTCCGCTACAATCTCTCCTTTAACTGGCTTCTTGCCTTCTCTGACTAATACTTTGCCACCTGTTTGTACCCATTTGTGATCCTCCCAAAGAACATCAATAGGGAGGAGAGGAAATATACTGATATTTCCCAGTGGAAGGTTTGACGTTATAGAGCTTCACTTTCCACTCTGACTGAGAAGTGTCAACTAACCAGTCAGAGTCCCAATCACTATCCTGAAGCTCATCTGCCAATGCAAATATAACTTCAAACCCTCCTGCCAGATCTCCTCTTATTCCTAGATAGGTCTCAGCTTCAGACGTATCAGACATTGTTTCCATTTCATGGTAGGCAGTGATCTGGTAAGTATTAGGACCCGTTCTTTTAGGAACATCATGTAAATACTGTATTCTGCACTCCAACTGTGGAACCTGTGCTCCAGCCCCCACTATCCTTTCATGTGGTGTGCATTTGGCTATAAGTCTAGAATTTAACAACAGAATTGCCTGTATAAGGACCCGATACCAACCCCTCAGTGTATGTGTGGGTGTAAGCTTGCGTATCTGGTCCTTCAATAGCCCGTTGTAACTTTCAATTAAACCAGCCGCCTGTGAATGGTATGGGATGTGGCACAGCCAGTACACTCCAGAATCTTTGGTCATCTCTTGTTCTGTAGATCTGGTAGAGTGCAAGCTTTGAACTTCTCTTGGGAAGCCATAGGCCACAGTGATCTTCTGGAGCAAATGGAGCATTGCAGCTTGATCTGCTCGCTTACAAGGTTGGATAAGCAAAAGTCCTGAGTAGGTGTCAACTGTAGTGCAACAATATCTCAGTCCATTGTTTCCCCGGGGCAGGGGACCGATGAAGTCAATCTGCCAAATCTCTGCAGGCTTCTCGCCCCTCTTAATGGTCCCGGTA